TTAAAGTTTTTAATTATCCCTTGATCAAGAGGTTGGAGTTTTGAAGTCGTGTTTGCCGGAAAGAATTCAATTCGCACGTTAAAGAGAGTAGAGTGATTGTTATGGGCAGTGCAATTATCAACGAATATGATAATTTTTCTGCGTTGATTTGCATGTCATTGTTGAGGGTTTCAAGCCATTCGTTCCAAAGTTCGGTTTGTCATCCACGATTTTCTGTAGGTTCTATACGTCACCGGCAAAGATTTGACGTTTTTAAAGCACCTAGGTTTGGCGGATTTACTTATAAATAAGGGCTTCAACTTCTCCGAACCATCCATATTTACCGCAAAAAGTAAAAAAGTTTCCCTCCATGACACTTTTCATTTTTATACGTTAGTGTTCGGTCTGGTAAACATTTAAAAAATAGTCCTGTCTCGTCAGCATTGAACACATTTTTCGGATCGTATTCACATAACAAGTATTGAAGTTTCACCTTCCAATTCTCACAGATACCATTATCGACGCTTGCACTTTCTCCACAAATTTTTCTGAACACCAAGTTATGACGCTTTTTAAAATTAGATAACCAGCCATCACTAGCAGTAAAATCTGAGATATCTAATATTTCAGCAAAACTTTTGGCTTTTTCCTTGATTAATATACCACTCACTGGAATGTTTTGCTGCCTAACTTGATTGAACCAAGTGAACAAACACTGTTCTAAATGGGGAAACTCGCTTGGTCGGTTCTTTTTTCGGCTACCTTCTGCGTCAGTTTTATTAAAAATCGCTTCTTTCTGTTCAAAATTGTAGAAAGTGATGAAGAAGGGATTTGAAAACTATCCGCTACATCTTTTTTCTTTTTGCCACTTTCGACTGCTTCAATTAATCTTTTCTTGTCAGAAATTGACAAAAACTTACGTTTTAAACTCATGCTTATAAACGCGACGAGCGGAATTTCATGTGATCGCTTTTGACGCAACAATCAAACTAAATTAAAACGATAACGTAAAGGTTACAAAAACGTTGTAGAGTCATTTATCTTATCGCGTGAAAAACGCTGAAACAAACACCGTAATAGCNGTGAAAATCGCTGAAACAAACACCGTAATAGCAAACTATTACGACGACATTATTATATGATAATTCGTTACATAGCGAGAGCGTTGGTCAAAAAAACTTCGTTATATCGAGGGGACTAAAATACATGTAATTTTTCGTTATATCACGAGATTTTCAAGGGACCGACAGTTTTATTTGTTANATTTTCAAGGGACGGACAGTTTTATTTGTTACATCGAGATTTTCGTTATAACGAGCTTCGTTATATTGCGAGTTGACTGTATTATGTTTATTAAAACTTTTAATGCTTTTAAACCTGCTATTATACTGTTATAGTTCAGTGACTTACATAGTACCTATTTATAGCTATAAATAAATTATTTAGAAATCTGTGATAAACATTGACATTTTTATGGTAAAATGTACTATTTGTCAATTCTTTATTTTCTAATCTGGATTGTATAAATTAATATAACAACTATGCTTAGTTTATTTTAAATATGGTTCTTATATTCATAAAGATTTAATTAATATTATTATAGAATAGATTTAATTGTTTCACCAATATTGGGAATCATACCACAAAGTTAGACTGAAAATAAAGTCACTATTTTTAAACTAATAGATGTATTTAATGTTATGTATTACAAGCTAAATGATTAGTCAAATATTATCTTAATTGATGTTTTTATACTATGGAACATAGCATGATAGATTAATAATCATTATATACAAAATAAAATCTGATGCTTCAAAACTTGTGTTTATCATTTTTATTGAGCATGTACAGGGTAATTAATTTAAAAATAAAACATTAGTAAATTGTACATCTTAAAGTTTAAATAAAAAAATTAATAAATCAATTACTTTTAGATTGCTTTGTTAAGTATAAAATTAAAATATTTCCAATAAATTTATTTTTAAAAGTTAGCAATTTTTTTTCTCAAAAAAGGTATTTTTAATCTATGATTTTAGTGAACGTTTTGTGCATGATCATTCTCCGGTGGCGGACTCGCTTCTCGAAGGAAACGACGAGAGGCGAGTGGACCAGGTCCCTCATAGGACCCGATCGGCTGGACAGGTGGGTGGACCGGACTCACGGTGAGATGACTTATCGTCTCACCCAAGTGATGTTTGGCCACGGCTGCTTTAANACACCCAAGTGATGTCCGGCCACGGCTGCTTTAAGGAGTACTTACACCGTATTCGTAAAGCAGCCGCGCCGACGTGCGACCACTGTTCGGATCGCCCGTGAGAGGCTGATAGCGCTTTGCACACCCTCTTCCGGTGCGAAGCGTGGGCCCAGGAACGGGACTCTTTGGAGTCTCAACTAGGGTCCACGTTCCGAGTCGGGTCCATGGTGGACCTGATGTTGAGGAGCCGGGAGGCGTGGAGGCTCNTTCCATGGTGGACCTGATGTTGAGGAGTCGGGAGGCGTGGAGGTTCGTCCAGGCGTTCGTCGAATCCGTCTTATTAAAGAAGGAGGAAGCGGAACGCCTGAGACAGAGGCAGTCACGCCGCCCGGCACAGGAGGACCTGAGGCGCTGGTTTAGGCCGGCGCCTTAGGTATTCGTGTTTATGTTTTTGTGAATTATTTGCCCTCCCTCGCAAGTCTTGCCACCACCACCACGTGGTACAACCCGGGCATCAGCTCTTGATTAATTTCGGGCTGATTCTTTGCGTGGTGATGTGAGTTTTAGAGACGGCGTGGACCGCCCTGAAGTAATACCTAACGGTAGTCCCAGGACGGTCCGCACTCATGTCGGTCGAG